AGACAGAACTGGAGTCAGATGTATTTTCAGATGGACGATATGACAGCATTTTTGTATGGTGATGGGAATGATGCAGAAGAGAGCAAAAGAAAAAAAAAAGTGTAGGAAAGGAAAGCATTGCTGGCACACAGAGAAGGGAAAATACCCCAGATATTTGCACTGCTCACTTGTTCACCTCCTTCAGATCCATGTCCACATGTCCCCTTTCCAGTGAGGTCTTTTCTGACCATCCTCTACCCTAGGAAACCCTGTTCTTCATCTCTTTTTCTTTCCTTCATTTTTCTCTCTAGCAATGATCACTTTCTAATGCTACATGCTTATTTATTTTGTCCTTTGAGCCTCCTCTCACTAGAAAATAAACTTCACGTGAACAGGCATCCTCCTCCTCCTTGGAGCAGTACCTGTACATGGCAGGTGCCCCATCAACAGTTGCTGAATGAGGTGGGGGGCGTGCAGGAGGCAGCCAATTGATGTTCCACTCTCATGCTGATGTTTCTCTCTCTTTCTCCCTTCTTCTCTCTCTAAGAATCAGTAAAAATATAAAAAATTTTTTAACAGGTTTATTGAAATATAATTCACTTATTTACAATTCATCCATTTAAAGTAACCAATCAAATAGATTTTAAGGGTTCCATTGTGTAATGGTTAGCACTCTGGACTCTGAATCCAATAGTTATTAATATACTCAGATACAGCAACTATCATCACAATTTTAGAACATCTTTATCACCTCAAAAAGAAACCCTGGGTCCTTTAGCTATCACCCTTCTGTCCCCTCTCCCATGCTCCTCAACCCTAAGCAACTATGAATCTTTCTGTTTCGATACATTTGCCAGTTCTAAACATTTCAAACAAACAGAATTATATAAAATGTGTTATTTTGTGAATGGCTTCTTTAACTTAGTATGTTTCCAAGGTTGACCCATATTGTAGCACACATAGTGTTTCATTCCTTTTTATTGCTGCATAATATTCCACTATATGAACACACCATATTTTATTTTATTTTTTGACTTTTTTTTTAGAGAGGAAGGGAGAGATAGAAACATTGATGTGAGAAACATGGATCGGCTGCCTCCTGTATGCCCCCTACTGGGGATTGAGCCCGCAACCTGGGCATGTGCCCAGAATGGGAATCAAACGGGGACCTCTCAGTCTATATAGGATGACACTCATTCCATTGAGCCACACCAGCTGAGCTGAACATACCATATTTTAACCATTCATCCATTGATAGATAGACATTTGGGTGGTTTCTATCTTTTTTGATTATTGTGAATAGTGCTGCTATGAACATTTGTGTACAAGGTATAGACCTACGAGTGGGATCACTGGTCATATGGTAATTCTAGATTTAAACCTTTGAGATGGCCAAACTGTCCTCTAACAGTGGCTGCAAGATTTTACATTAGTACCAGCAATGCATGAGAGTTCCAATTTCTCCATATCCCCACTAACACTATTATTGTTTTTATTACTGCCACCCTAGTGGACGAGCAGTGCTATCTCATTGTGGTTTTGCCATCTTTCCTCTCCAGTAAAGAATCGAACATCATTTTCTCCTACGGTGTCCTGGCATTGCTTGAAAAATAGAGCTGTGAACTGGAGTATGTACACTTCACAATACCACTTCGGAACCTACAGGTATCTTTTATTTTATTTATTTAAATATATTTTTATTTTTAAAAAGATGTTTTTATTGATTTTTAGAGCAGAAGGGAGAGGGAGAAACATCAACATGAGAGTGAAACATCAATCAGTTGCCTCTTGCCTGCACTCCAACTGGGGATCGAGCCCACAACCTGGGCATGTGCCTAACCAGGAATCGAACTGGCAACCTTTTGGTGCATGGGACGATGCTCAACCAACTGATCTACACCAGTCAGGGCCCTATAGGTATCTTTTATTTTTTTATCCTCACCTGAGGACATTTTTGCATTATCTTCAGATAGAGTGGGAGGGAGAGAGGGAAGAAGAGAGAGAGAGAAACATCGATGTGAGAGAGACACATTGACTGGCTGCCACCCACACAACCCCAACCAGGGCCGGGACAAACTGCAACTGAGGTACATGCCCTTAGTGGGAACAGAACCTGGATCTCTCTGGTCCACGGGCCAATGCTCTAACTGCTGAGCCAAACTGACCAGGGCCCTATAGGTATCTTTTAAATATTATACTATCCCGTGACAACACTGCCCCACCCCCTCCAGAGTTTATGTAATAAGTACATAATAAGGTAAATATTAAAACAATCTCTTGAGGGCCTATATTTCTTCTCTAATTTTGTTATATATTTTTCAATACCCCAAATCAAAATTTTAAAAATATTTTTTATTTTTAGAGAGAGAGAGGGAGAAACATAGATGTGAGAATGAAACATCAATCAGCTGCCTCCTGCATGCCCCCTACTGGGGATTGAGCCTGCAACCTGGACATGTGCCCTGACTGGGAACTGAACCAGCAACCTTTAGGTGCATGAAACAATGCCCAACTATCTGAGCCACAGTAGCCAGGGCCCACAAACCAATTTTGATATGTGATTTTTGTTTCCCTGTAAACATATTTATAAATGGAATAAAAAAGGTGTAACTGGGACTTAACTTGAGCTGTTCTTAAAAATCCTTGAGATAGATAAGGGTTGAGATAATCCAGGGAAAAGGAAAAAAAAGGGGTTGCTGCTTTAAATTTTGGCTTTTTAACTAGATTGCTTGCTGAGAGTATGAACAAAATCTTTCCTGGTTAAATGAGAGACTGAGCTCTCTTTAGCTCCGAAAGAGAAAGGACACTTCCCCAACCTGCACAGCCAATGGGGTGATGACAGTTGTTCAGAAACCTGAATCTGGAGCAGCAGAAATGGGTGCCAGGAGGTATCCAGTGCAGCAGCACAGCTGGTCCAGAGAAGCTGGAAGGAGCCACAGGGAAAAGGTCAGGGAGCCCTGGAATGGGTGAGGAGTCCGTGCCTTGGAAAGCATCAAGGTTCCAGTGACATCAGTGTACTTTACTACAATCAGCAGTTTCAGTTCCTGTATGAACCTAAGGAGCTGCCTGTCCTTCAAGGCCCTACCTAATGCTGACTGCCCAGATACAGGAATCCAAATGGCCAACTCAAGGACACTGACCATGAAAATCCATATCAGGACCAGGAAGGACACCACCTGCATGTCCACAGCTCTTCCTTTGATCTCTTTGTTCTGCTTTCCCCCTCTCTCCTTATAAAAACCTCTGCCTTCACTGAGATGTTAAGATGGGTTTTTGAGGACATAAGTCCTCCATCTTCTCAAGTTGTCAGCATTGAATAAACCATTTTCCTTCTCACCAAACAAACAAACAAACAAAAAACCCCAACCAACCAACCCCCCGAACTAACAAAAAATCAGGTGCGTCTCAAAAGCTTAGAGATTTAGTCAGAGTCAAATGTGGGCAACTGGAATGTAACAACAGCAGGGGGGAAGAACACCATTCCAGGAGTAAAGTCTTACTGAAAATCTTTACTTTCCTCTCCCTGGCTTGGAATGATAGTTTTCCTTTAAAAATAACCAAAAACATGTTTTGCCAAATACCAAAACTGTGTATGCATCTGAAACAAGAAAACAAGGAGACAGTCAAGGTGGAATTACCGTTTGCAGGTTTTCACAAAGGTTGAAAGGTGTTTCCTGACAACAGAGCAGCTACAGTTGGGACATCTGGGGTAAATGCATATGCAAATAAGTGCTGGGAAAGTGTTCCTGGGATTCACCTCCATTAAGTACTCTGAGAAGTCATTATGAGTTACAAAACTTGGTATTCTAATTATTACATTTAAGGGAGCAGTGAAAAGCAGTGCAAGTAACACAGCTGTAGAACAACTGAATCGGAGTGGTGGCAGGAGAAAGAAAAGAAATATGGCTGATCCAGGATTTGGAAAGTTGAGGTCTTGGGAACAGCTATTCCAGTAGAGTTAAGAAAAATGCCCTTTCCCCAGACTATGGTAAAATAAATATTGACTAAAAATGTTCATAACCTACTGGCTTCCTTGGAACTAGAGAGTCACATTAAAATGATTATGCTTATATCAGAGTGGTCCCTCCCACCTCCACCCCCCATGGTCTAGTCATCTCTAATCAAAGAGTGTCTGTGTATGTGGTTACGGGAATGTCATTCAACTTATGAAGGCTTACAAGGGCACTGTGCTAAGACAGTATTGGGGTGAGGTGGGCACGAGTCTAATAAGTTTGATAAGACACGGCAGTACCTGCCCATAAGAAAAAGCTCAGTTTACTGCACACCTGTTATTACTACTAACGTCTCTCTCTCTCTTTTTATTTTTTTTAGGGAGGTGGGGTGGAGTGGAGGAACGGGAAGAGGGCCCAGGGAGAGGGGAACAGAAGGGCGGCTTTTACCTTCTCAGAAAATGCTAGTTACGCCATCCACTCACTGATTTGCATATTTCCATCACTTTAGATCCTGGAGTCACCGCCAGGAATGGAAAGTTTGAAAACTAACTCGATAATGTTTGACTTCAATCCTAGGAAGACCTCCGCACAGGCGCTCGGGGGTAGGGGTGGGAGGGTGGAGGGGTGGGTGTCATTCCTTTTTCCCAGCCTGGCTCGAGCCCACCAGGACCGGCTCCGCTGACGAACTACAAACCCCACCATGCACCGCGCGGGAGGCTGGGTCCTCGTTGAGGGAATGCGAGGGTGTTCTAAAGGCGCCTTAAGTAAAACACACGCACGTTTTCCGCCGCTGTTTCACCTTCCCACGGATCTCACCTCCAGGAGGACAGATCGTCTCATTTATTAGCAGCACACGCAGTGAAGCGGGTAGAGTCGCTTCTGACGTCAGGCACGGCTGAGGGCAGGCACGAGGACCGCACGCGGACTCGAGGACACCCCCCACCGGGCCACGCGCGGGGCGGAGCCAGTGGCGGCGAGGCTGCTGCGCAGGCCGGAAGTGTGCGAGAGCGAAGGCGAAGGCGGAGGCTGGAGTGGCTGCCGCCGCGCGCTTCCGACTCGCGCGTCGACGACGGCCGGCTGCAAAGGGCTCCTCGGCAGGCCCTCCCGCCGCGGCCTCGCGTACCCCGCCAGCTCGAAGACCCCGTCTCCGCTCGCCTTACCGTAGGCCGTGACGACATGAGCAACAAAGAAGGTGGCGTCCTCCGCAGCGCTGGGCGTTATTTATTCAAAGGGGGAGGATCTCCCGTCCTGTCGGATTTTCCTTTCTCCCCGAGGGATGCCTTCGCCCCGCACAGGCTGGGGGCGGCGGCCCTGGTGGCTTCCCCGGCCACACACACCCTGTTGAACACCTCTCATTTTCTTAAATGCACGAGCTGTTTTTTAAAAAACCTTATTTGGGTAATTACTCCACCTTGTGCCAGATCAAGGAACCCACTGGTGGCGGCCCGGCTGAGCGAGCTAAAGGTTTGGGGAAGGAGCCAGGGAAGCCTCTAGGGCGAGGGCCCTTGGGCATCTAGCTTTACAGGAAGGAAGGGGTTTGCCTGCCTACGTTATGTTTTGCCACCTCTTGGTGACGGGAGAACCTATCCAACTTTTTTCTCCTTCTCTACGTAAGGATCAGGAGGGTTCAGGAAAAGGAAGCATGACAATTTCCCACATAACCAGAGAAGAGAAGGGAAGGATGTTAATTCCTCTTCACCTGTGATGTTGGCCTTCAAATGTAAGTTCTCTGTAATGTAAGTTGGCGAAAGAAGAGAACTAAAGAGGTTGTAACAAGCAATGTTGAGCCATTGTTGTGCACAAAATAACAGCCTCTAAGAAATTCAGATGTGCATATGTGAATATTTTACTTTTTCTAGTTTGGGATGGTGCTAGGTCTGCGATGAAGGTCAAGATTACCAAAGTCTTGGGTTTTTTTTTTCCCCCATTACTGTTCCACAGGTAAACATTGGTTAATTGACATGAGATGTTGCCATATAACCAGAAAAACACTCGCTTGTACTGCTCAATGACTTGGAGAAATACATCACTAGGTGATTTCGTGGCTGTGCGATCACTTAACACCCAGGTGGTACGGCCAATACTGTAAACGTATGAGCTGTACTCCTGTACTGTTTGCAGTGCAGTAGGTTTGTTTACACCAACACTGTAAACAGTAATGTGTTGTGTTACAAAGGTACGATGGTCATGACATCACTAGGCAATAGGAATTTTTCATCTTCATTATAATCTTCATTATAATCTTGTGGGACCACCCATGTATGTGAGGTCCATTGTTGACCAGAATGTCATTATGTGGCACGTAACTGGATGTATCAGGGGGGTGTGTGTGTGTGTGTATGTATACATACACATGCACATATATATACAAATATTAGGTGTATATATACATCTATTTAATTTTTTTAAACTTAATTTTTTCTTCTTTATCGATTTTAGCTAAAGAGGAAGGGAAAGGGAGAGAGAGATAGAAACATTGATGAGAGAGAACATCAATTGGCTGCCTCCTGCATGCTCCCTACTGGGGATTGAGCCCACAACCTGGGCATGTGCCCTGACTTGGAATTGAACTGGTGACCTCTTGGTGCATGGGTCGATGTTTAACCACTAAGCCACACGGGTCAGGTTCCGCTTTTTTTTTTTAATATGTTTTTGATTTTTTAGAGAGGAAGCGGAGAGAGAGAAGCATAGATATAAGAGGGAGACATTGATCGGCTGCCTTTTGCATGCCCCCTACTGGGGATTGAGCCTGCAGTTGGCATGTGCCTCGACCAGGAATCGAACCAGGACCTCTCAGTCCATGGGATGATGCTCAGTTCACTGAGCAACACCAGCCAGGCTAGGTTCCACTTTTTGAAGGGAGGAGTCACATAATTCATGGCTGTATTTTAAAATGACTACCGCACTTTCAGACATCTTGAGATGTAAGACTAGTTGTAATTGAGTAGAGGGCATATTAATCATAGCTACTTACTCTGGAAAAACTGCAATGAGCCAAGTATTCCTATGCTGATACTCTGACACACCCTATACGGGGCTGCTTGTGTACAAGCATATTTTGCTGTTTTGGTTCTGCCATCCTTTTGCACATAGTTTTTTAAAGCTTGGAATTGCTTCTAATGTGGTTCACTCACTGTTCAGCTGGTGAACTATGGTTTTGTTCAAGACCTAGCTCAATTAGCTTCTTCCCTTTGAAACTTTTCTGATTAATCTCCAGCAAAGTTGGTTACAAACATTGCATTCATTCATTCCATTATTCATCCATTCAGTCATGAAATATTTATTGAGCATCTATTATGTTCTAGCATGTTTAGTAGTGAACAAGAAAAATGTGGTTCCTGCTTTACTGAACCTTTACATATGTTATAGGATGGTCACATTGTATTTGATTGTTTCTGTGTCTTATACTGACTAAGCTCCTTGAGGATAGGAATTGTCTTTTTTAACTTTGTATTTATATTGTCTAGTTCACAGTGGTCATTAATGTATTCGTAATAAATAAATATGTTTGATTGTCTTGAAATAGTAGGCAAAAACCTAGCCTTATTATTATCTCAATAATAAAAAAACAGATGTATTTAGGTCCTTGTCATCTATGAATTTTGTTAGTAGTTTATTCAAGTTCTGGATTTTTTTTTTTTCCTTTATTGATGAGAGAGAGAGAGAGAGAGAGAGAGAGAGAGGAAGGAAGGAAGAGGGGGAGAGAGATAGAAACATCGATGAGAGAGAACATCGATTGGCTGCCTCCTGCATGCCCCCCACTGGGGATCAGGCCCACAACCTGGGCATGTGTCCTGGCCAGGAATTAAACTGGCAACCTCTTGGTGCATGGGTCGACGTTCAACCACTGAGCCATACCTACTGGACTGGTTTTTTTTTTTTTATTCATGCATAATGTACGTACTGGGTACTCCTTATAGGACAGACATTCTGCTAGGTCCTTGGAGTGACAGTGTATCTGAAATAAAATGGTTATGAAGACTTCAGTGGTTTACAGATATTTCAATGACTAGGGCTTGAAAATTCAGAAAGTTGATATTATTCAAAGCTATAAACTTTAAAAAAATATACATATATATATTTTTTTATCCTCACCCGAGGACATTTTTGCATTTATCTTCAGATAGAGTAGGAGGGAGAGAGGAAGAAAGAGAGAGAAATATCGATGTGAGAGAGAGACATTGAGTGGTTGCCACCACATGACCCCAACTGGGGCAGGGATCAAACCCCAACCGAGGTACGTGCCCCTAGTGGGAATCAAACCCTGGACTTTCTGTTCCACGGGCCAACACTCTAACCGCTGAGCCAAACCGGCCAGGGCTATAAACTTTTAATTTAAAGAAATCCCAGTTTTGCCCTGGCCAGGTTGCTCAGTTGGTTGGAGCCAAGTTTGTGGGTTTGATCCCTGGTTGGGGCACATACAGGAATCAACCAATGAATGCATAAATAAATGAAACAACAAATTGATATATCTCCCTTTCCCCTTTCCCCCTTGCTCTCAAAATCAATGTGAAAAATATTCTCAGGTGAGGATTAACAAAAAAACAAAAACAAAAAAACTTCGCGTAACTTAGGGAGGTAGTTGGAAGTAATTTTTAAAAGAAATTGTATGTGATAATTTTATATTTACTAGACCACATAATTTTTTAAATTTATTTATTTTTGTTATAGATGTTTCTCCTTCCCCCCCACTGATTCCCTCCTCCCCCTCCCTCCCTGCCCTGTCCCCAGCTTTGTTGTCCATGTCCATTGTTCATGCACACATGCATATAAGTTCTGTAGTTTATCTCTCCCCCTTCACCCCCTCTTCTGGGGATTGTCATTCTGTACCCCACTTCCACTTCTCTGGGACTACCCCATTCCTCACACTGTTATGTTCATTATATTCCACAGATAAGTGAGATCATATGATACTTGTCTTTCTCTGTTTGGCTTGTTTCGCTTAGGATAATACTTTCCAGGTCCCTCCATGTCGTCTCAAAGGATAAGAGATCTTTCTTTCTTACAACTGCATAGTTCTCCATTGTGTATATGTACCACAGCTTTTTTTTCCATTCTAGACCACATCATTTTTACAATAATATACATCTCATTATAAGACTGAGTGGTAAAACCCAGTTAAGGCATACCTCTGTTTAAAGAAAGAATATTTTGGTTACTAGCAGAGTCTTTGATTTCCAAGTACTTTAAAAATAAATAAGATGATTTTTGTCCTCTTTTTAGGAAATTTTAATTTCCTACCCGAGGATATTTTTCTACTTATTATCAGAGTGGGAGGGAGGGAGAGAGAGAGACAGAGAGAGAGAAACATCAATGTGATAGAGCCACATTGACTGGTTGTCTCTGCCACGACCCATCCAGGGCTGGGGACAAATCCCACAACCCAGGCACATGCCCTTGACTGGACTTGAACCTGAGACTCATTGGTCTGTGGGCCAATGCTCTAACCACTGAGCAAAACCAGCCAGGGCGATTTTTGTCCTTTTTATAGAGTAAATAGTAGTTGCTTTATCATGAATAGTAACAATACTGTTTGATAGGCTTTAATTATAGAATATACATGCTTATGGTCATAATAATGTATTTTAGCATTTCAGCAGGAACTTGATGCAAGACATGACAAGTATGAGAGACTTGTAAAACTTAGTCGGGATATAACTGTAGAAAGTAAAAGGACAATTTTTCTGCTCCATAGGATTACAAGGTAAGTGTCTTTAAATATTATTACAGTTGGATATAATTTCATCTGTATTATATATATTGTAATACTTTATACTTCACTGGACAGTAACTAGAATATTCTGTGGCTTATTTTGTCAACATTGGGATCAGAGGAAGTTAGCAGCAGGCGGATTTTAAGAATAAACATTTGCTTTCTTTTTTAGTATGTTTTTAATTGATTTTAGAGAGAGTGAGTGAGCTTTGGTAGCTTGTGTCTTTCGAGGAATTTTTACATCTTTTATTTCTGTAGGATCTGGAGTGACATCTCCTCTCATTCCTGGTGTTGGTAATTTGTGTTTCTTTTTCCTAATCTCTCTGGCTCAATTTTATTGCTCTTAAAGGGCCAATGTATTTTCCTACTTAGTTACACTGTTGTTTTTTTCCCTTTGTATGTTTGCTTTGAATTCATTTGTTCCTCTTTTCTAGTTTCTTAAGGTGGAAGGTGAGATCAAAGGAGAAACCTCTTTTCTAATATAGACATTTAGTGCTATAAATTTCCCTTTTAAGTCTCTAAGTACCCTTTAGCTGCATTCCATGAATTTTGATGTTTTTTTCATTTTTGTTCAGTTCAAAATACTTTCTCAGGGAGACTACTAGGCTCCGTGTAGGTTTCTCACTCCTATACTGTCACTTGGAAAGTTTCCAGACAGTAAGATAGGACAATCCATAGAGCGCATGTCCTTTTTTTCACCTCTCTCAGGGATCACTGTCCCACGCTGCCTGTTGTCCAATGTCTGAAAACCATAGTTTTGTATGTATTTTTTTTCTTTTTAGTTGTTTTTGGTGGAAGGACAGTTTCTGCCCATGTTACTCCATCCTGACTGGAAGCAGACATATCTAGATGTCATATTTTTATGAACATAATTTTTATAGTTAGGATTATAACATACAACTTTGTATACTTTTTTTCACTTAAAAGTATGTTATAGCATTTCCATGTGTTTTCACAGTTTTAATAAAATCAGTTGTAGTTTTGAGTTAATATCCAAATATGTACAATGTTTATTTAGGCCTCTGTTAATTAACAATTAGATTATTTCAGTTTTTCACTATAAAGCATCTGAGTGATATTTTAAAGATTCCTAATATCTTGACTGTAGTGCTCCTGATATGGAAGAAATATTGACTGAATCAGAAATTAAATTGGATGGTGTCAGACAAAAGATACTGCAGGTGGCCCAGGAGCTCTCAGGAGAAGACATGCATCAGTTCCACAGAGCCATTACGACAGGTAGGTCTAGCTTGTCTTCAGTGCTAACATTACTTTTAAAGTGTGTGACATGATTTATGTGTGAGTTGCGTGAATTTTAATTGATACTAGGTGAAATATTATTGGCTTTACAAAATCGAACTGCTGAACAATAACATAAAGAGAATCCAAAAACATATAATTGGCTTTATTTTTCTAATCATGCAGTTACAGTCATTGATAGATTTTAATGAAGTCTGTTTGCTAGTAACTGTTTTCTCAATTACTTTATTCTTGAGTGTGTAGGGTAAGTTCAGACGAAGTACATCTGACTTCCCAACATGGATATATCTCACTGCTGGCTCTAGGTTTCTGCTTTAGTAGGTTCATAAAGGAAAATACATCACCTGGCTGGGTGGACCCAAACATCTCATAGTGTGGCTTCATAGTGGGAATTTTAGGACAGCACTGAGTTTATATTCATTTTAAGAGTTCTAGGGATTACTGGATCTTGGCGATTGTCACCATTTGCAAATTATAGTTGATCCTTGAACAGCACAGAGGTTAGAGGTGCCAACCAACACCTGCATCCCTAGCAGCAAAAAATCCACACATAACTTTGCTAGAACTTAACTACTGATTATCTCCTGTCCACTGGAAGACTTACCGGCAGCATAAACAGTTGATTAACACATATTTTATGTGTTATATGTATTATATGCTTTATGCTTACAATAAAGTGTGCTAGAGAAAAGAATATATTAAGAAAATCATAAGGAAGAGAAAATACATTTATAGTACTGCACATATTTATTTTTAAAAAAATCCCACCTATAAGTGGACCTGCACAGTTTAAACCTGTGCTGTTCAAGGGTCCACTGTAGTTGCATAAATGTTTAAAGTGCTTGATTCTTTCTTCTTTATTGCTGTTTTAATGTGAGTTCACTGACAGGAGAGATACTGTATAATTCAGACCTACCTCAAAATGTGTAGAGACAAAGTCAAAGGTAGGTTGATATTTACAGAAGTATATGAAAGTTCTGTTTCTTTCTATCAAATGCCAATTCCACTGAGCTCGGGTCAGTTTCAATGAAGTGAGGTCAGTGGGAAACAACTTCATTTTGTATTTGTTCAATACGTGTCCAATTTTAGTTTAAACATGTATAATTTCAGCACTTGCTTTTCAGAAATACGACTTGTGTGTTGAAATGTCTTTTTTTGTTGTTCAGTAATTATATTTAATTGAGGTATATGGACATACAACATTATATTAGTTTCAAGTGCATAATATAATGATTTGATTTTCGTATATATTGTGAAACAATCCCCACAATAAATCTAGTTAGCATCCATCACCATGAATAGTTACAGAATTTTTTTCTTGTGAAGAACTTTTAAGATCTACTCTCTTAGCAACTTTCAAATATGCAATATAGTATTATTAACTGTAGTCACCATACTATACATTAGATCCCTGTGATTTATTTATCGCTGGAAGTTTTATACCTTTTGAATCTCTTCACCCATTTTGACCACTTCCCACCCCCTGCCTCTGGCAACCACTTGAAATGTCTTTCAATACCAGTAAGAGAATACCTGTCTACATTAACTAAAGCTGGGGGTGTTACTAGAACCTGAAGTCATAACTGAAACAGTTCTATGAGGAGTCATTATGGTATATTCCCAAAGGAGATACGTTCCCATTTTCACAATTTATAATTTTTTTTTTTTTTATCCTCACCCGAGGACATTTTTCCATTTTTTGTACAGATAGAGTGGGAGGGAGAGAGAGAGGGAAACATCGATGTGAAAGGGACACATCGAGTGGCTGCCACCCGCACGACCAACCAGGGCCGGGGACAAACTGCAACCGAGGTACATGCCCTTAGCGGGAACCGAACCCGGGTCTCTCCAGACCGCAGGCGGACGCTCTAACCGCTGAGCCAAACCGGCCAGGGCCACAATTTATAATTTTTAACAGGGATTTATTTAGTTTTTTTAAATTATAGCGCACATTAAAAAAGATTCAGTGGATTCAGTTTGTGTTGTCAAGTGGCACAACCTTGAGTAGGAGAGTCTGGCAGGGTTAGGAGAGAGGGTCAAAGGCATTGGTGGGAAGATGGGTAAAATGAAAGCTCAAATAAGCTTCTAGAAGAAAACATGAAAATACCTTCATGAACTTGTGCTAGGAAAGATTTTTTTAACTGACACAAATACGCATTAACTGCTAAAAGAAATACGATCAATTGAGTTTCATTAAAATGAAGAAATACTGTTTATCAAAAGAGATCATTAAGTAAAAAGGCAAGCTGAAGTCTGAAAGAAGACATTAAATACATATGTTGGATAAAGCACTCGTGCAGAATATATGAAGAATTCCTACAAATCAAAAAGAAGGCAACTTAAAAATGGACAAAAACTTGAACAGAGGCTTTAAAAAAGTAAAATATTCAGATGGCTAATAAGCACATGAAAAGGTGGTCAGTATATCATTAATCACTAGAATAATTCACAGTGAAATACTGTTCATTCACCAGCATGAGTAAATTATAAATACCACTTTAAAAAACCAACAGTGTCACCTTGGCCAGTTAGAGCGTTGGCCGATGGACCAGAGAGGCCCAGGTTCGGTTCCCGCTAAGGGCATGTACCTCAGTTGCAGTTTGTCCCCGGCCCTGGTTAGGGTCGTGTGGGTAGCAGCCAGTCGATGTGTCTCTCTCACATCGATGTTTCTCTCTCTTCCTCCCTCTCTCCCTCCCACTCTGTCTGAAGATAAATGGAAAAATGTCCTCAGATGAGGATAAAAAAAACCAAAAACCAACAGTGTCTAGCTAAAAGTATGTGCCTACTTTATGATCACTTCTGGGTATGTACCCAAGGGACGTGTGGCTTATGTTACCAAAAGATGTGTGAGAAAGCTCATAACAGCTATAGTCATAATATCCTAAAACTGAAAAGTGACCCAGATGCCTATCAAAAGGAGATTGGATAAATTTTGGTATAGTTGTACAAGGTAATACTACATAGCAATAAAAAATGATAAACATATGCAACAGCAGCAAATATGAATCTCACATACATTCTGTGGGGCAAAATTAACAGACAAAAGGGTATCTGCAGATAATTCCATTTATGTGAAGTTCACAAAGAGGCAAAGTTAATCTAGGGAGATAAAAGGCAGGATTGCGGTATCCTTGTGGGGGAGGTTGGGGCAGGAGGTACTGACTAGAGGCATGAGGGAACTTTCTGGTGTGTTAGAAATAGTTTATATATTTATCTAGGTGGAGGTACTTAGGTTTACACATAAGTAAAAAGAAGTTGAATTAGACATTTAAGATGATACACTTTACTGTTTGTAATTTATAACTCTTAGAATATGATTTTTTTTTTTTTAGAGAGAGAAACATGGATGTGAAAGAGACATTAGTCAGCTGCCTCTTGCGCACCCCCTACTGGGGATTGAGCCTGCAACCTGGGCATGTGCCCTAACTGGGAATCAAACTGGGACCTCTCAGTCCATGGGATGATGCTCAATCCACTGAGCCACACCAGCTGGGTTATAACTCATTTTTTTAAACGAAGAAAAGTCACTATTGACTAATGAGTTCTTCACTCCTTTTACAGAGCAGTTTTTTTGTTTTTTTTTCCTTCTTTATCGAATTTAGAGAGAAAAAGGGAGAGGTAGAGAGACAGAAACATTGATGAGAGAGAATATCAATTGGCCACCTCCTGCATGCCCCCACTGAGGATTCAGCCCACAACCTGGGCATGTGCCCTGACCAGGAATTGAACTGCTGACCTCTTGGTGCATGGGTCAACATTCAACCACTGAGCCACAGTAGCTGGATGCAGTTCTTTGTATTGGGAGATTACATCAATAATAATTCTCTTGATGGTAGTCTTACATCAGGAAGGAAGTGCTGCACTCTTGGGAAGAGTTGATGTGGGGCATTCATAGAATGGGAGCAGTCTTCAGATTTTCCCACTTCCACTGTATCATTGAGGAGTTTTATAAGCCCCGTACTCTGTTTCAGGCCTTTGTTTATTATTTGTAAGTTTTCTTTGAAGATTACCTACTCATGGGTTAAAAATTTGAAGATTCCCTATATCTCATAACAAGTCTTGTTTTCTTTTTTTTACATTTTTTTTTTTAGTCCTCACCCAAGGACATGCTTAGAGAGAGGAACATTGATGCTAGAGAGAAACATCAATCAGCTGCCTTTTGTCTGCCTTGTGTCCTGACCAGGGATCAAACCCACAACCCAGGTATATGCCCTGACCAGGAATCGAACCGGCAACTTTTTGGCGTACAGGACAATGCTCAACCTACTAAGCTACTCTGGCTGGGCTTTCATAACAAGTCTTTAAAATAAAATACGTTTCTTTTAATTGAAGCAATAAGGATTTTTTTCTTAAAGTTAAGGAATAAATCAGTTAAATGAAGAAGTATCTGGGACTTAAAAATTTGCTGACAGATATTTCATATGATAAAAAAATGGTTTTTTATAATTAGAGTAGTATTAACAATATGATGCTTATGAATAGCTTGCTGCTTGTAATTGTTAAGTGCTTGTTTTGGTGTTACTCCAAATAGTTGTTCTTTTGACTTGAAGATAAAACAATTCTGGCACTGAACTAAAGGAGTCTGTGCTTTTCCTCATTAAGAATAGTGCTAATGGCACGCAGAGCATTTCCCTAAGGGATACTTGTGTGAGCTCAAACATTGAGTATCCTCCTAATAATTGAACAACAACAAAAAGTTAGGTCTGTTTTCTACACATTTCTTATCAGAGTAGATTACAGATTGTCCCGAGGGATGGCTAAACAAATGAACGAATCATTAGTTGCTTGAAATAAGTCACTTAAAATTTTTTTGTGCCCTGTCATGTTTTTGTTTTGTTTTTGTCTCTTGTTGAAAAATTAACAGTTGGAGGAAAATGTTCTCTGTGTGAAAAAAAGAATTATACACACACACACACACGTGTGTGTGTATTTTAGTTTTTATCACTGTGAGAATGTTAAAAATTGTCATTTACTTTTCA